TACAATACTATTAGCGATGTATGTAAGTTTGTGGAAAAAAAAATATATATATATGTATCGTAAGAATATTAGTTTAAACTGTTATGATAATTTAAGAAACAGTTGTTTTCTTTTGAAATGCACAAATGAATCTTACACTTAGTGCATATAAAATATGTACGTCTACGACATCCTWTGTTCTTGCACCTCGTTTGACTTGTTTTGCCGTCATGAGCAGGAAAATTGTCAACCCGATCTTCAGACACTTCTTTTAGCAGWCGTGTTTCATATCTGAAAATAAAGAGAGAAATAAATATATTTTTTTAAATTGCATAAATGTAGTATAAATATGAAAATTGATCAATACCTTCTTACTTTACTGCTTGGTCTAACGTCGGAATTTATTATAAACATTGGACGCCCTCTTTTGCGAATAGTTGCCGCTTTCTCAAATAAAACAAGCCTGTTTGCAACTTTCATCCTAAAATCATGCAGCTTCATTATATCATTTGTGGGAATATTATGTCTATTGCAATCCTTTTTATATAAAATCCAAGATGATACCAATGCGAAATCAATGAAGTGCGAAGTGATGCGAAGTGTCTACTTACAAGAAGATTTCAAAAAAATTCTATAGTAACTTATTAACTGGTCCAGCAAATCGACCCCACCCATCGATTCGTTATATTCCTTCACAATTTTCGGTCTTTTCACAAAATCGTTTAGCAACATCTTGTTCCCCAATCGCTACAAACTTAGAGGCTAAGTAAATAGGCTTATTATCCAGCCATTTTACAATGCAAATTTTAGTATTTTTGCCTTGATATAAYTCGAATTCATATGGAAAACCTGACTTTCCACACAGGACGTTATTTTTAATACCCCAGGGATTGGGTTTAMTCTTTTGGTATATTTTGCAAGACAATTTTCCTTTAAATGGCATAATTTGTTCATCGATACATACATCTCCTTCCACAGGTTCCTCTTGGCAGCGTTTTCTTATTGTTTCAATTAAAGAACGAATTTTATAAAATTTGTCATTGCAATTAGGAGGAATCAACWGATTGTCATTGAAATGTAGGTTTAGGCGTAACTGTCTGAAGCGTTTTAACGACATTGTGTTCTTAAAAAGCTCTATCGAGGGTGTTTGATCCCAAAATGTTGTCATCCTACCAAGCCGTAATATCTCTCCTTCCAGCTCTAAATCGTCATCAATAACAATGTCTTCAAAATTTTGTACGTTCAGGAAGCTCACGTTGTTTAATAAAACTGAGGAACTATTATTTATTATTTCATCAATAATTATTTCATCATCTGGATGAAGTTCCCCCATCAACTATTCATTACTTGCTTCACATGCTTCATGGTCAA